TTTTTTTGAAAGAATAACACACACCTGAAATAACTCTACACTGACAAGATGATATAGGTTTGTCCCAGTAGAAAAGGCTAGAATTATGACAATTCGTTGAGACATACGGTAAATCATGTTGTAAAACGAGAGGTACTTTTGAGAAGCACCTGACCTGTCTTGATGCATCAAGTGGCATCCTGACATGTTGACACAGCATTTAGAAATTAAGTCCTACAAAGAAGAGAAAAACATTGCAAGATACCTAATCAAATTAGGTAATTAATATTCAGCAATAGGAAACCAGTACCAAAAATACTTCAGAAATTAGACAAACTTGTCAAAGTTCACAACATCCCAAAAAAATGAGAATCTTGAACTTACGCTCAATCGTTTCCGAACTTCATACTGCGATATCTGACCGAGCATGCAGTATCATTTAACCATAACAACAACCTGAACCTTTTTAAAAACTTTTCTACTTCATGCAAAAGTGTAACAAAAACAGTCCAGTTATCGAAGTATCCCATCACAATTTTAACCAAATCAACCCTGCTCGCACATCACATTACAAATAATGTGATGTGACCTATAATAAATAAATAATGTGATGTGACCAGGAATATGTATGACTTACCGCTGGTCGAGTCAGGTGCGGCAGCCACGGCCATGTCCATCATTGAAGACTAATTATATTCACAAGTATACCGCACGCAGCGTCTCGGTTCACATAGCAGACAATATCAATTTCAAAAAGTAAATTTCAGGTTATAACCGCTGGATATTAACCACTTTGTTCCGGTAACCACAATGGGTAGTAAAAACTTAGTTTACATAGTTCGGAAATAAATTTCATAACTTTTATAAACGATCCAGCCAATTACAATTTCTTCGATTTCCTCACCTTCACACAAACCGTTTCACTGAGTAAGAAAGTAAGCAAAAAAAGTACAACATGGTATTGGACTGGTAGCTCTTCTCGCACGTACGACATGGACAGGAATGAGCGCAGTTCATACCAGCATACTTATGCTGCATTCATGTCAACCGAGCAATAATAAAACAATAGCGCGTCTAATAGATAACATCGTGAGCAGCGATAAGAATCAGGATGCCTAGCTCGTATCTCTCAGTCTGCGGAAGATTGTAAATAAACAAGTTAATTCATAAATCATGAGGAAAAACATATTGAACAATACTCAACAAAGAATATTGTACTTGGAGAAACGTACGCGGACTCATAGTTTTCTAGTAAATAGTCTTGATGAAAGCCTCGTTCGAAGCGAGCTGTAAAAGCACGAGGAGTAATGAACCAGCGACGTCTGGCTGACGCCGACAACAGGCGCAGGTTTCTACCTGAGGCAGCAACCTAGAACCCAGCGCTAATGACACGTAGTTTTTACAGCAGTTGCTGAGCGCCAAGAAGAGTCAGGCGCCCACGTACGCTGGGTAGCGTCCAGGGAAAAAATTGTACCCGTTCACCTCAATTCTATGCCACCTGATCAAATTGCACTTCTGTTAAGAGTATCATTTGCTCTCTTAGATGGTAATGAAGATATATTTCTTGAGCTATGGCGGATTTCAAAAGGTCAACTGGTCTACTTGCAATCTAAAAAGCAAATAAAATAGAGTGTTTTATCCGATATGACAAATAAATCAAGTTTCAGGTAGTTCATCTACTACATGTACATAGAGAAATCAATTTTTTCTGCATGATAAGCAAATGAGAATAACTACAATCAATCAAAACCAACTAAGAAAACATGTGAGTTTAACACCAGAAGTACTTATGGCGGTAAAAAAACGATAGACCATACATAGAAGAATTTAAATGAAGAGGTACGGATCAACGAATGTATTTTTAAGGTAACTCGATAAGCTGGAAACAGGTTTTTGCGACTCTGACCAAGCAGTGGGACAACGTACCTATAGAGGCCCCACGCAATAATGAGATTTTCGAGGTGGGTTTTTAGCGCTCGTGAAGTAAGCACGACTTCGTGCATTTTAGAGCTGCATAGCCCACGAACGCCAGCTTCGATACTCACGTTTGACATTGAACCTTTTACTGCCGAGGTAAAGAAACCTGAACCAGGATTCTTAATGCTATAGGATTGTGGCTATAGAGGAATAGGCTATATAGCATTGTGAGAGTCAAACCAGCCAGATAGTGAGCGCGGCAAGCAGCGCCCAGACCAGCTAGCCTACGCACGCTTGTCAGACCAAATCGTGTTCCAGCTTTTGAGTTACCATGCAAAGACATAATCGACGTCCGATTAAGTTATCAAAATATTACATCAAAAATCAATAGTTACTGATATTCCATTGACTAAAGCAGGCACTTGCGACCAAATCATATTCTTGAAAAGTTAGATCCTCACTGAATCGATTCCAATATCGTTTCAATTATACTAGCTAATACCACTTCAAAACTTCAAAAGTGCGAAAGTTCAGACGAGTAATAAGCAGGATCACGTTTTTTCATTACACAAATTCTGCTAAACACTGGATTCATCCAAAGTCTTGGCAACATTGCGTGCATTTCAAGGCATTATTAATTAATGACGCAGGGGCACAGCGTATACGAGTATTTTCGTCAACAAAGACTATCATTGAGCGTTTGTTGTCTCACATTGGGCTCATTCGACGGCTTTGCTCGTGTAAACTTAAACATCGAAGGTAGAGAATACCTCATACAGAACAATGCTTGCAACGCCTGCGACTTTGAAACAATGTCATTCACGCTAGTTTGGTTAAAGTGAAGCAGCAGTATATATAAACAACTGAGTGCTCAAGGAATCTAATGATACATGTAGCACAATTTGAGTTTTTACTGGAACTCACTTCAACCACAAGCAATTATAATTATAAAATTTCAAGATCCCGGCATGTGTAATATAACAAAGATCCGCGTAGAGCGTGAAAAGTAAATATCCAAGCGTCGACTCAAGGCACCAAACACACGCATACAATACAAGGTCGTTTGGTGCCACCAAGATGATTAATGGCATTTATATTTCGTTACAAATTACTACAAAAAATGATTCGTCTAAGAATATCAGATACAAACCGCACAGGAAAGACAAGTTCTAAAATTCAGGAATATAATGCAATATCGGCATTATTGAGCAGTAAAGAAGTAAAACAAACGAACCATTTAGCGCTAGCCACTCAAGAAAAGGAAGCTAAATGTCCACTCATTAGGCTAACTCAAACTTCTTAATGATGCCTAAAACCATCAACATTCCTGCATGATTTAATTAAGGCTTAACGTCAGATATGCGTACTCTTCTCTTTACTAAACAAACACGAAACGTTTCAATGAGAATGAAAAAAAGACGCGGTAGACCGTATTTTAGATCCCGTGCACATCGCGCAAATTAAATAACTTGCCACTGGCGTAGTGGATCACGCACTGAGCGCGGGCAACCACAAGCAGGCTACAGGGGACGGGGCTTGTTGCCGATACGCGTGGCGGCCTCCGGCAACCCAAGGCGCTCGAGTTCGCAGTGCAAGATCCAAAGGACAGATCAGGTTTCCTGGTAACTAACCCGGCTCCTTGAGTAAACTTTAATACGGAAACAGGCAGTTAAGCCTGTTTTTTTTCAGCACTATAAATGTACAACTTCAGGTAAAATAAATACTAATAATCGTGATTAAAAAATTTACAAAATTCTTAAAATAGTAGATGAAGTGTGAACACAATCGTAAGTGGAGTCCTTTGCAAAACCATTTGCAGCAAATTGACTACTATTGAAAAATAATATTAATAAACAACGCTTTTACATCAGAGAACAGGAAATTTTAATTCCATTTGCTTTATAGTGAGAGTGAAATTATAAAGCTTTATCCTAGAATATGTCGGAGACATAACACGCCGAGTGCGACAGAGACTCGGGATTGCAACAGAAGCCGTTCATTCCGTTCTACCAAACTAAGACTAAATGGGCACATTGTGTGATCATTTGGCAAATAACTATAGCAGGTAGGGCTCGTTAATAACATTTTCATTTAAACGAAGGAGGAAAAAAGTTTCTAATTAAAGCGTACATTGACCATGCACAGAGACAATGCGCATTTTGGATGGTCGATTATTCCCGAAATTTTAGGAATGTCATCTCGAACGTGGCCGGTGATACGTCACACCTACGAACAAAATAATGGGTTTACATCAACACAAGAAGTATGATATCAGTTGAGGCCATGACGCAGTGGTTGGGATACGTGTATAACAAGTGGTCCTCTATTCTCATTCAAATTCATTTCACTGACACAGACGACGTGGGCCGAAGAGCATGGTGGCTAGTGATCGCACAGTAAATTCCAAGGAAATAACGTAAACCAGGCATATGACACAGCAATAGTCATTCGCTAATTCCCATTCGAACCGCTGTCGAACCGATGTACGAATTTTTAGTTTGAACCGCTGTGCAAATTAAATATGTCAAGTTAATCAAGCATAGGCGCCGACGAGTGGCAACCGCATACCGGCCACCGGCGCACGTGCGACCAAGAACCCGGCCGCGGCCATGGGACGTGCATCGTGAAAGCCAACAGCGGAATGCTGACCTTGTGCGCTGCCAACACCTCATTTATGGCCAGCTTGCTGCTGCTGCAACTTATCAAAAAACTGCAATCTAATCATTGCAATCAAATCGTTAGCAATTTAATATTTAAAAATTGCAATCAAATCATTAGCAACTTAAGATTTACTCTACGGATAGGTTAGATATGTTCGATGCAATTCACTTCTACACGCCTGGTAAAGAAAGTTACAAACAATTTAACTGAAGAGTATAGAAGACGTTATTGCAAAAGTCAGCTTGTAGTACTTTCCCACACACTATCTTACCCACTCTACCTTATCACGAGATGTTATTCGTGAGTTTAAACATTAAAACGCAGAAGGCAAACGAAAAAGTTAATGCTATAATAATGATAATAATACGCAAAAGGCAAACGAAAAAGTTAATGCTATAATAATGATAATAATAAGTTAATGCTATAATAAATATGGTACTTACCGAAGTACTGCAAGGTGGCCTCAGCCTGCTCGGGGCTGAGGGGGGAAGAAGCGCCGTCCTCTGCCTCAAGTGCGGGGAACGGCACTATGCCTCCCCACGAGTCTCGGGAGCAGCCTGTGGGTACAGGTAAACAATTGATTACCATCAAATTCTGATCATCATCATCAAATAAAATTGTCATCAAATTCTGCAATTGGCACAAGCGATAAAATTTAACACTCATTTGAAAATGAAGCACTTGTAAGCATGAACAGCAGCGCTGAGTGAAATAACTTATAATGGAGCGGCACGCGCTCACAAGTCTAAGAATAATTCAACGAGGAGTCCCCATTCGCCATAACAAGTTTAGAACCAATTTTAGAATCTATTTTTTCAAAAGTTTATACACCAAATTTAAGTTCTTCTTCGTGCTAATTTTCGTTGAATTCGTAATTTTCGTTGAATATTAGGTGCAATCGTCTTGTCATCAGTTTTTCAAAAAATGGATCGAATCTAAAAAGATTTAATAAGAAAACTCGTCGACTTTTTGGAGCTTGAGTTCAAAATTTTCCCCAATGGCGTTCTGAATATCGGACCAGCTGTTCTGGTCCGTACGAGGACCAAGAGGATATCTCACCTGCCATCGTGCAGGTCCAACTCGTTGTGTTGCGATGCTAATATTACTTATTAAATAATATTATTGCACACGAGTTTAAAAAATAAAAATTTCAGGTTTCACATGATACAATACAGCAAGAGCGTTCGTTGATTGTACGGCACCGATTAAAGACTATGTGAGTAGGTAAATGAGCTAAGGCGATGAGTACGATATCAGCTATAATATCCCTTATACGCGGTAACTCGGAACTGAGGTTATTCGAAATAATAAATATATAAAAAAAATGTAAATGGAGGCAGCTCAGCTGCCTTTATTAGGCACCCAGATTCTTGATTGCGTCGTGAGTATTTTCAAGCTCCACAGCCACAGTTTCACTATTGATGGGCACATTAATGAGAAAACCACTCTTACATCAAAGCCCAGATTAAATAGGTACGTTAAGACTCTTAGTGGCTTCGTGATTATAGAGATTACGATTTCACATCCCGTTTCGTTGCTATCGTTGAACTCGATGCAGGCGGCGAGATCAAAAGCTCCACTAATTAAATTTCTCCAGCGAAGATCGAAAGCAGTTCTATAGTCATGAGCTTAAGTTGACAGTTCAGAGAGAGAACGCGCGTGAAGTTCTCAAAACACATACGAGAAGTGTCTGCTGATAATCCTAGATATAATAGATTTTGAAGCAAATTGCATAACTTCAACTGAGTCACATCATTTCACAATACTAGCATTGACCACATGGCTGACAAAAAATATATTGCAATAACGTTTAGTTCAGTGGCACATTGACATGGTTTTGCAAAAAATACTGGTAGGAGAGCTCGAGATATCACAGACTATATAACATACAATTACTGGGTGAGCCAGGGAGGAAGACGATTGTTAAGATTATTGCATGTTCGCCTTGGCAAGCACTCCATGTTTAGCATATCCAAGCCAACGATCGGGCACGCAATGCTCGAGTTCTCGTACAATTGTCGCGGGGAATTGTTCAGAAAATTCACGAGTACTTGAACGGGTTCACACAATTTAAACATGTGACTTCCGGCAAAGATACGGGCACGATTGACACAGCATTTCTTTCGTATATATAAAGTTATTTCGCGTAGAATCATTAAAAAATAATTTTCCGGAGATTGATGCAGTTGCGTTAATTTTTATCCTACTAGATTAAGTTATTTCGACTAAGCCGATAATTTCAGAAGAATTTTCCTGAGATTTATGCAGATCCTTTAAATTTCTTTCACAACACCGCATGGTTACTTAGAATTAGCTGATTATTTCAAAAGACTTTTCCTGAGCTTGATGCAGTTGCATTTAATTATTTAACCAATTCCGCAAAATTATTTTGAGCAAGTTCACCGTTATTTCAAACGAATTTTTTACACCAATGCACTGCAAATGACGCTGAAGTGCAAGCAAGCACATCTTCCGCTATTTCTCTCAGCAGCGGAACGCCGCGAGCTTGCAACGAGACGCGCACGTTTGGGCACTCACACACCGTGCACGAACACTGAATTGTCTCCGTACAAAAATATCGGTCTGATAGAAAAGACATTTACTTCTGCAAATAAGAAAACAATTGGAAATATAGAATAAATATCTAAGATTACATCGGCTTTGTCACACATCTCCAGTATCAACATGAAACTTTTTCACAGCACAATAAAAAATATATATAACTCAGTACTCACTGCAGTGAGTGACAGAGAGCGCATTTTCTCGTCGACGAAAATGTGAAGTCACGGACAGACGGACATGACGAGCACAGTAGCGCTTTTTTCCATAAATAAGAAAATGCGCTAAAAATCCTTTATATTAGTTAATTTATCGAACATAATACTAATTATTGCTACCACGAATATAACATTTACGCATGTTCTACAATTTATGACTCAATTTCATCAAATCACTATAATTTATTCGACATAATTGTATGGAAGTTGTTGCATCCCGCTTCGGCGGTGACTGGAAATGAAGATTAATAATATCACTCGTTTGCTTGAATCGCAAATTCACTAAAAACTTAATAGCAAAGAAAACTCCACAAAAATTCATAGTATCTTTAAAGAAAACGTTTCGGAGTCCAGCTCCATCGTCAGTTCGAAAATTCTAGAACACAGATAAATCAGTGATTAGTACAAAACCTACCTATTTACAATTTCAAGCGGGTAAGAGCTAAAAGCTAAATTCAAACTAGGCCTATGTTTAAAAATATACAATGATTCTAAAATGCGCAAATCAGAAACACCGGAACTGGAAGCTAAAACTTTGAAGTCACTGTCAGAAACTGGAACATCGTTCTAGAATTTTCGAACTGACGATGGAGCTGGACTCCGAAACGTTTTCTTTAAAGATACTATGAATTTTTGTGGAGTTTTCTTTGCTATTAAGTTTTTAGAAATGAAGATTGTAACGTGGTCCACGGCTTCAGTCAAACTCATCCAGACCTAAAACTGAACAAATCTTAGGGCCGTCTTCAGCGCAATGGTAACCAAGATCGCACAAGATATGCATTCTGAATGAATTAAATAACGCACGTAAACAACATAAGAAAGCCCACGCAGGCGCAAGGAAATCATTAACGATGTCATCGTTTCACAATAATGTGAACGACATGAGCAATATGAATTCAAAGCTGAGAAAATGACAAATCAATTCACCATAGGTTCAACATACTACTTATATTAATATTTGAAATGGAGAAGAAAAATTTATGCAGAACGAAGCCAGACACAATGCACTTGACTATTTGCTATCGCAACTCGAGAGCTCCAATGAGAATTCCTTCCAGGCTGGTTTAAACGAAAAACTTGAAATCACTCAACCTACGCAAACAAAAAAACTTTAAACATCAATAGGCTTGACGATTGATCGACAAGCAAAACATCATGAGCCTTCATTCGCTAGCCTTAATATTGTTCAAGTCGTCTATAAAGCACAAAAATGTAAAATAAAAGCGAATTGAAAGAGCGAATTAATATAAGCGAGTTTCGCGAGACGCGGCCCCCGTTTGGCCGACACGGCGTCCACGTTCACTGAACCCTGCCTGCCCATGCACAATCCAGCGAGCGCTCAACTCTCCTGCAACATCCTGAAGCTTATGATGCTGGATGTTGAAGGACTCAGGTAATTTTATATCAGTAAAAGAGAGCAAAAACCGAACAAAAAGTGAGGGAAATTACGGGAAACACGCGGAGCTGTACGCATCAGCTGTACGAGGAGGAACTGTACAGTCGCACTAGCCCGGTCTGGCAGCGCTCGAATCGATCCCGCGGCAGCAACGTAACAACACCAACAGCAGCAGCACGAGAGAAGCAACGTTACAAAAACAGCAGCATTTCCTTCTCCCTGTGTCTCACGGTGCGAGAAATAATACTTTGAATACAGCAGGTCGCGTAATTAGCGTCATGACGATGCAAACTTTTTTGTTTGAGTTAATTTTTTATCATAAACAGTTTTAATTTCACTCAATCAAAAAGTAATTGAAACCTCACGCTCATGACGGGGTTAGGTTATAAAATTCAGCTGGATGAACATGAACACATTTCGAAGTGCCTTGAATTTTTCCGGGGCTTTTCGGCTATTTTACGTAGAAAGCGGAACAATCATCATGCTGGAGCCATTCCCGACAGCTATTGCACTAAGCAGCGCAGTCTCAAATCCCGCAAAAGACCGAAGAATGAAATTGAAAGCCGCAACTTGAAACTTAATAACCAAAAGTCTAAAAAAGACAAACTTTTCAAAGAGTCTCGTGAAAACCTAAGGGCAAAATAGGCCGTAAATGCACATGTGCCGATTAGAACAAGAGCCATCCAGCTGGCCAAAGTTTTAAGGCGCGCGCTGCAACTGAAAACAGCCACGATACTTGCAATGATCTGAGCTTTTGAAATGGCTAAAGATCGTAAAAGAAAAATGATGGCTGACATTGAAGAATTGCACGTACGGTGATGGATATAGTATGCGTTCGGCAGCGACAACAATCCTATACATTCAGGAGACGCTCGCTGCTGGACACCGAGTGCATATCACTAATGATCAAGAAACAGATCTGCGCCCGAAATTGTAAACGCGCTACTACGACCATAACTTTCTATTTCAAAGTACAAATGCCGTTCATAATTCACTAAAACTTAGCGCTAAAATCTAGAAGCTCACGCTAGTAAAAATGCATCACAACATCTATCTCCTCTATCCTCTTCCGACATTTCCGCAGATATTTGCATTTTCTATCTACACTGTTAATTCTTTTAGATGTCATCACAGGGGAATTCATCTCAAACATTAAAAATTAGAATTTATTTCCCATTATACTTTTTAACATGGCATCATCAAACCTCCAAATTCAAGCTTAAATTAACCAGCGGATCTGTGGGAACCCTCGGTTGTTATTAAATTCAATTCTTTTTTATAAAAATTACCTGACCATATTGTCCACATAGTGTCACACTTTCGGCACGTAGCACTGATACGCACTTTCGGCGACACACAATGGCAGAAAGTGGATGGCTACTTGGACATTCTCTCACTCAATTGTTTAAGTGGGTCGCGAGATCATGTTTCGCTGCTTGTCATCCGAGCCTGTTTGCCTGCTGACTGATGATGAACCAACATTTGGGCTGAACGAAGAGATTGATGCTCTAAATTAGGTGCCCAATGGCACCTTAAATAGATTGACGTAACCGAAAATGGCTGTTAGGTTCCAGGAAATCGAAAACTTCACAGGAAAAATCCTCGGACAGTTGAATCAAGAAAAGTGATCACATTTTATAACAGCACATGACATTCGCGCATCAATCACTTCCTATGCAATTTTATTTGAAATAAGGAAAACCGAATTGAACGATCCTTGCAAAATTCTAGCCATAACAAACTTAAATATCGGGGACGGCGCGCAACCAATATAGAACGAGTTTCAATTAAGGTAAAGAGAGGCACATAAAATAACCAAAAAGTTTACCAGCGTGCTTTCCCAACTTGATAGACAATATATGATCTATAGAATAAAATTATATCTGTACGACGCGTACACATGAAACATTATATTCAATGAGGTTACTAATAAAGGCTCACAACCTCACCGCTATTCGCCGATTGATTATACCCAAACTCGAGGCAACGTAACCAATTATTTATCTTATGATTTTCCTTACGATGCTTGCGGAAAATTCAGTAGACTGATAATCTCGACGATGAAAAATATTTTTAACGAAAAAAACTAATCGAAATACAAATTTGAAGTGAATCAATAACAACACTAAATGCATCTGCTGCACTGGAGAAACACAAAACTTGATCGCAGGAATTTACCGAAGATTCTCAAATGGACGAATTTGATGATTTAAATGGTTAAAGACTAACTTCAATTAAACCATTTGGAAATGGTTATATTAAAATGCATTTCGAACAAACCTCCTGTCACAGAAAGAAATCTAACGCAAAAGATTTTTTCTTGTCAGCAAGGTCAGCAAGGTAATTTTTATATCTGATTGGGTAAAGCTTTGCCTGGAAAATTGCATTTACATTCTTCAAGTTTCATTCTTTCCATTATAAAGTACGGAACCGTGTTCTGTCAATTACCGTAGCGTTATACACACATCCGCTACAAAACAACTGAGAAAAGAATCATAACGTTCGTGGAATGGTCTGATATGGATACATTTATTGATAGTCCCGTTTTGATTTCGTAAAAGGACACGTTTTGTTTGTCAATTAGCCTGACAATTCCTGCAAAAATAATAGCAGGAGCGCCGGTATTTATGAGCAACATTATCGGCGCTGCTATTAGCAACAAAAGCATGGAACAGAAAGACACGAACCTGCAGCAGCAGCAGCAGGGTCAGCACGAAGTCTGTAGGAGGGGATCTGTTCCTGCACCAGCGATATGATCTCGACTTCAGCGAGGTGTTCGCTCTGGTGTACGTCTGACAACAACAACAACAACAATCAACATACATGTAGAGTAACCTACCATAGGTACCAAATATATAATTCATATATAAATATAAACATTAATTACACGCATATAAAGCAGAAAATTCTGCCATCTTGGAATAAATTATATTTCATTAATAATTCAACTTAACGCTCAAGTTATAGTTAAATTTGGTATATCCGAATGCCGAACTGCGAAATGAAAGCATTTGACACAAATCAATGAAGCTTCTGGACACTAGACACAAATTTCCCAGGAGAGAAAGCATTTTGGAGAAAACGAATATTAATTAGATCTGTTAATCTGTGACCTAATGCGACGCAACACAATGATAGTGATGGCGCCGTCATCGATGATGGTGATGACGGAATTGATATTGTCAATTCATCACCATCAAGACACGTGCAGCATAAAACTGCCCTCCTCACAGTTGCATGCTAACTTACCCCCCCCCCCCCCCCAGATGCCCAATACCTTAAGCCCACTAGTACTTCCTGCTCATAAACTGACGCGGACGCCTCATTCTCAATTAGCCTTCAATCCAAACTTCATCTTACTGGATAGCAGCGTGCCTGCTGGCTACTAAGTGGACAGTAGATTTTCAGTGGCACCGCGAACACCACCAGGAAAGAGAATATGCTGGCTGTGCGTCACCTCTTTTTTGACTCATATGGAAGCTCTTTTCTCCCGCCTCAACTGCTCAGCACTGGCCGACTCGCCCTCGGACCACTGTAAGGCATCGGACCACTCTTCTCCCAGGCATCGTGCTTGCTAATTATAAGGCACAATCTAGATGCCGTCTGCTGCATTTGCACAAACTTGGTCAGTTTAGTCAGCATCACTTCTGCACCTCTTCTCTCAGTTGGAAAGCCCTATAGAATCGAGGCTTTTTTAGTCTCAGTCCATTTATTCGCCCAGCTTATAGTTTTCCACTTTTCATTTGAAGAGAAGTGGCATTTCACCGCAACCACCATTACCACGCACAACACAACACACACCTGTGATGGTGGAAGCGTCCCTGGAGGTGAGGGAGGTGGGGCCAGGGGTGGCAGGCTCCCTAGGGGCGGCGTCAGCACCGCGACGCAGGAGGCGCTCGAGGCGGTACAGCCCCGCCGCGAAGCTGGCAGCTGAGCGCGGCTGCGAGTCGTCCGAGTGCGGCGCTCCTGTTCACATGGCAAGTGAGCTTAACACATGCATTTATAGTGTTTAATTTAATATCTAATTTAATATGATGGAATGTAGTATATTATTTAATGCATGCTAGATTATATGCTACGCTTTGATGAACAGAAATGAAGACGCACGTCATCCTGGAGTTGGAGTTAGTTGATGGTAGAAATCAAACGGAACAGAATAGCTTAATAGAATCCAATAATATAATTCCAGTCGACCTTTCTCTATACTAAAAGTTGTATCTCCATGAATGGCATAACTATTGTGCAACGAATGGTTAAATTATAAAGTGAAATACTTTGACCTTGTTTGGCAGGTGAAAGCTTTCCTACTTTTACATGGCACAAGGACGCTGCAGGTCCATTGCACACGAAGCACGCGGACATAAAAATCCGATTCTAACCTCCCACGTCGGACAGGTGCCAAATTAAGCACCTAAACTTGAATGTCAGAAGGTAGCACAATAGCCAGTTTACTCGAATGAAAGTAAAAGTAGGCGCGTAAAAGTGATGTAAAAATGAGCGCGTAGTACAGCACATAGAAATGGCACGTTGTCCCTCACCACTCGAGTCTGCGGTAGGAGTGTTGACTCCTGCAGGAGTAGCAGCAGGAGCTTCAGACGAGGACGCTGTGCGGCGAGAGCGCACTCGGTCCAGACACTCGCGTATCTGTCAGGGCCCACAACAGATTCAATTCATTCACATTCATATCTGCACGAACGTACCCCAAGATATTCGATATTACTAAGTGGCAAATATCAGTTATACAGCCAGTATAATTATTAGAATAAGCGGCTCACAGCCAAGATTCTTCACTCAATGTGGATGAAGTGATAACACGTACTACACGTAACAAATATTTCAGCTTATAACATAACAAACCACACAATTACAAGCTAAAATTCTCTCCATTACAAGTTCACATAAAATTTGCCACGTAAATTTACTAAGCAAAGCAATAAATGATATAAACTATAAACTTTAGGTACAACGTAGTAGGATAACTAATTATTTAAGAAAATACTCAGAAGATAAATACCCCCGTCATTCATTACCTTTTAAAGCCAATAGGGCACTGATAACGCAATACAAGACGCGGGTTCACTTTCACTAAAGTCAGATCGCTCACAATAGCAATCGCTCACCTGTTGTCTGACTTCAGTAGGACTGGAGGACGCTTCCTTGGGCACCTCTTGCCCTGGACTCTGATCCTTGGAAGGAGATGCGTCAGCTACTGAGTCCTTATAGGCAGCGTAGGACTCCTTCGAGCGCTCGTTCTCGACGTTCTTCTTGGTCTTGGATGGCGCTAAGGGCAGGGTCTTGGGAGGCGATGGTCTGAAGGGCCCCAGGTCAGGATTACTGAGCAGGTCTGCAGGGTCGACGTGGCAGACGTAGTCCTTTGCCACGTCCAGCTTAGGAGCGCCCACTTTAATGATGCTCGTCGAGAGATCGACGATGCTCAGAGGCTCGCTAGAGTCCTGGCTGAAGTAGAGGCTTGCGATGTTGTGCTGAGCGCTGGTCGGGCTCACGAGGTCGGGCAGTGGGCAACCACTTTTCCTGCTGCTCTTGTCCAAGCCTGGCCAGCTCGAGCCCTATAAATAAACAATAAATGAAACACGTGTGTTACAAAAAAAAACATATACCAATACACGATACATAAATCGTCCAATGACGTAGAAGGACGATGCAAAATCTCAAGCATAGTTGGGATTAGATCAATTTTCTAATAATTGCCCTATTTCACAGTAATAATCGTATATGAAAGTATCATAAGACATCTTATTCTAAAATCAAGTCAGAAGGACCCAGGCTCTATGCAAGTGTTGGAAAGAGGATGCATTTAAGGACAACAATTAAAACACGATTCTAGGTCCATGGTCTTGCATAAGAGCTAGAGGAATGGCGGATCCGCAAACTTCCTTTTTGCTAAACATGAACCCTTCATTCAATTTAGCATCTAACGCAACAACTTTTTAAAAATGATCAATAGCAAATGATCTCGGGTCCACCATTTGATCACATTAAAGGCCTCGGAACCTTTTTAGGGCTACAGCAAACTAACTGGAACGGGAAAATAAGCGAGAACACACGAACAAAAAAAGGAAATAAAACTTTCATGTAACAACAGAACGACATAAAAATAAAGGATTGAAAAGACCGACATAAAATAAAACAAAACGCGGCACAATAGAAGTACTAACCCCACGCGCGGGATACCCGGGCCCCGCCACGGTCACACGCGCAGCCTCTCCGCCACGCGAACACCGGCCCCTCCTGCAGGGTGGCCCGCCCTCTACACGCTCCGTGCGGTGCCCTGATGTGCTGCTGCAGCTCGCGGGTGTTGTGCGGTTTGTGGCGGGCGAGTCCTGAGACTTTTCGAGGGAGGATGAGGATTGGTGCGACAAAAAAGGTTCCCGCTGGACGGAGAAAGATTCTTGCGGTTGGACCGGTGAGTTAAGGTGATCTTGTACAAAGGAAGACGATTTCTTGGAGCAACGCAATGAGCTTGGTTCTTGGGACGATAATCTTTGGTTTTTCGAAAACTGGACGCTTTGAACAGCGTATATTTGAGCTGAAACTTGCAGGGCGCTATTCGCTGGACGGGAGCAGTTTGTGGCTAAAAATTCTTGGCGATAATTGGCTGGGGCGGCAGGATTTAAATGACGTGTGCCGAGTACTGACGCTTTTGGCTGATACGCGGCACTAGCTGACGACGGAGTGAGTGGAAAGAGCGATGAAACATAACCCTGAGAGTTGAACGCGACTTCAACCTTATTTGTGACGCTGATGTCATACTCATGTGTCGATTGATGAACAGTAATTTCTTCAGTCTTCACTACCCCGTAAATATCTCTTTGATAAAGACCACCGCTGCAAGAAGGAATTGATTCAATAGTTTTCACTCCCTCAGTAAAAATTTCTCGCGGCTCAAAGACAGAAAACGAATCCCGACTTTCACTCTCAAATGTCACTTTGGCGTCACCAAAGTCAGTGAGAGGAGACGGCGGGTGCGGATCTCCAGAAGCAGCGATAGGATCGCCCCCGGATTCGTTTTTTGTCTCGTCCTTGCTTGCGAAGGATGAGGGCCGAGCAGCAGAGGATGGAGGAGTCCTCAGGAGCCGAGCTGCAAGACGCGCGCTGGGTCCTTTCAGGGGTGGCGCAGGCAACGGCTCCTCCGCCTGCACAACCGCAAGAAGCTTTAGTAATATACATAACAAATGCCAGAAGAATGGTATATAGCACGGACAAAGGTAATATTGTATTGTATATAATGAATAGTACGCAGCGTGTCACATGAACTACATCCGAAGCAATGGGCATGTAAGACCGTAAAACAAAGAATTAAACGCGCACTATAACAGCGTCGAGCTCATCGCTCTCGTGCTTCTGCCCGCTGATGATGAGTCGGTCAGGAAATAAGCAGCATCGTCGTACACAAATAAGTCTAGAAAGGAATGGTTTATATTAAATTAGATGTTCGATTGTACGCGTTAATTAAAAATTGTACGCACTACTTTTCCCGAGATTGTTTTATCTGAAGAAAATAGAGCAAAGAGCAAGAAACCATCATTTACAAATATTTTGTTTGATACAATATGATAGGGGAACATCCACAGTCAACGTACCGAAGATCGACGACACGTTTGACACATCGCTGAGTGGTGCACAAATGGAACACACAGAGAATTTGAGGCCTTCACACAACTTTATCGGTTGTCGTTGAGATGAATTTTTCACTCAGAAGTACGTAAAGCAATGGGAGAAAACCTTAGTCCATTTATTGAAAACAATGGCACTGGTAGCATTAGCCACAAATTGCTCTCTGCTTAACAGTTTGAACGGCGTCAAACTGCAGCATAAGAGTTGTGGCTAACTCATACAGAAACGCACTCCTTTCTTACAAACGTAAATAATGTCAGCCAAACTCGTTCCAACGCAAACATCACAACCTCGATTATTTGGGTTGAAATTACTCAATAAGAATGACTGGAAATATTCGAACACCACTTCCAGCTTCCTTGTTTCGAACTTTCTTTACATTTTGATCGTGTTCTTCCAAACGCTAACCCGTTGTAATTAAGGCATCATATTATGTTCAGTAATGAATAACTTTCAATTAAACAGATCGTCACATGAGAACAGTTCGCGCTGAAACACGGACTAGCAATGAAACGCGAGCCAGCCAGGCAGCACCTTATCAAGGCAGCGCAAATGGCAAGCAAAGATTTTACTTTCAACAGCGCGGCAGCCTTGGAAGTGTTGTGTGAGGGAGGTGGTGATGGTGAGAGCTGGGGCTGAGAAGCAGCCTGCAGTATACAGGGTGACACAAAAAAAACAGAGCTCATAAAAAGTTGAATAATTTCCACAATACTCAAGTAATCCTGTTATTTGTTTCAGATTCATTAAGAAGACGGATTGATCTAAGAGTCTACCACGTGTGAGCTTCGAGATGCCTTGGACTACAGAGCAAAAGACATTTGCAGTTGAGACATATTTTCGGCTAAAGTCTTTCCGGGAAACGCAATTGCGATTCAAAGACAAGTCTGCCTGCAGCGCCGGGGCGCGCATCTGGAACATATCTTTGAGCGGCTGTAGAACAAAGAGTTTTTGTGGTATAGAATTGAGATTTTGCAGATGTTGGCTACATAGGTTGTACATAATTCCATAGAATTTTTGTTTCAAACTGAATAAAATTTCAGGAGTTATAAGACTTTTAGTGAGCTCTGTTTTTTTTGTGTCACCCTGTACATGGCACCCAGAGGCTGTACGTTTCTAGCGGAAGTCGGGATGAAATTTTAAAAAGTCTAAATTTAAGGCAAAACAACATATATCTACAAGAATTTATGATGTCGTCCTAAAATGACTTGTAGCAAGACAAGATTTATCCATTAATACAAACTTTTATCTTTTTTTATTAATTAATACAAACTTTATTTTTATACATTAATACAAACTCCGGGTCGACGGTTGCACGTTAGTACTCACAGGAAATGCACACATACAAACGAGTGTCAGCTCGCGCTCGCCGCCTCAATGAGGAAATAATCATCTTCAATGATTATTTCTACTTCAAATATAAAAGGTTTGAAATGTTCGACATCAGCCTATGATACAGGTGTATATATTTCACGAATTAAGACGAGTTTTTGCGGTTCGCTTATTTAGAAGAAAAAACGTCTACAAGAATATGAAGAGTCATATTCTTATTTTCGCGATTATTTGAATCACAAAATTACTTTGAATCACAAATGTTTGTAGGAATTTAATCGAATGGAGAATTAAAATGCTCAGACCCCTTAGATCTTAGTAACAAATTAGTCCTGCAGTATCAGCGCAAATCAAGTTTGGTTCGCATCGGAGTTCGCTAAACGCATTCGCAGCAGAGGTAACGGTGAATACATTTCCAGTTAAAATAATGACAAAGCAGCATATACGAGCCAAATGTGCTGAGTCATCGCTTATTCAGAGTCTTTTTCTGCATTCGAAATTAGAATTTCTGACAAGTCATGCCAAGCATTGATGCAGGAACATGAAATGGCCGCCGCATTCGTTCGAGGTGTTCTCAGACGGCAGGGAACACCGTCCATTGGTACGAGGAAAAGAAACTGAAGGAAGGCATGATGGAGCAAAATACGTGGATCAAGACAAGGCCACAACACAGCCACCAATGGCAACAAAGCGAGTGGAGGCAAAAGGCAGTAAGAGGCGAGACAACTTCAGCGAGAAATATAAGAAAAAGAACGACTGCCTCCAAAACAGCAGCGGAGCAAAGAGTCAACAACACAACCGTTGCTGAGTAGAGGCACAAAAAACGACTAAAAGCAGCAGAGATGATAGCCACGGAAAAAATAGACATGAAAGCGTGGAAGCCATGAGCACTCAAAACTGATTTCGCTCCCACTCCTACAAATTGCTGTGGAATCATTTCTGATTACTTTGAGGATGATGTAAACCTTCAGTTAATCTCATGCAACTTAACTCGCTTGGATTATTAATTGCAATAACCATCATTAACGAATGGAAAGAATTGTCCACTGTACAATGTTATTCAAATATATCAATAGATACGCTGATGACGACGCATACACTCCGTAATAATTAGACTATTAATGGACAAATAAATCCAATTTGTTCCCTTTAATTAAGTAGAACCCTGACCTGGAACCCCCGTCATGTTCATGGCGCTGTGAGCCCAGGGTGCGGACGTGACTAGAGACACGTACGGCGGCGCTGCCGCTCTGTCAACGTCAGGCTTGGTGACCGCAATTACGGTGGCAGTATAGCGCTCTTACTGCTCAACTCTCAAGTGCCTCAAGAATAAATCTATATAGCGCTCTTATTACTCAAGTGCCTCACGAATAAATCTATGAAATATGAACCTGATAACGTGGTAACTCATAGGGAAGTTGCTTTTATCAGTTTTGACACCACGCCGATTTCGTAGAAGATCTTAAGTTTAGACAGATGAGGTCGCACGCATGGCAAGTGTTCCTCTAAAATCTGCCGAACAACTGCACTCGTTATCGTTGAATTTTCATCTACATGTCATCTGTGACCTATAAATTGGAATGATAAGCTCATTGATGAGCACACGAAAGTTTCTATACATTATATAAAACGTGCTGCTCGATCTAAAAGTTTATGCATGAAGCACGGGTTTGCCACACGGATTGTCTCCTATTTCCGCCTCTTACAACATGAAAAAAAAAATACTAGTTTCTTTGCGATCAAGTGCGCGATCGTTACTCTTTCAGTTAATTAGCTTACCTGTCAGTTAATTCAGCGCATTTACAACCGGTTACAAGATCTCTCGTAAATTCATCTTATCGCCAATGAATGTCTGAATAAATCTCGTCTCTTTATGTTTCAGAAATCAATTCATGAAGCCAGAATTTTCGTCAATGCGGAAAGATCGAACCATAAATATGAATCTCTAAAAACTGTCCCTTTCATTCTATATTCCCGGTACCATCTAAACTATCTTCATGTACCGTCTTTTACATAGAGTAACCGTATTCATGTACCGTCTTTTACGAGTAATTGAAAAAGATCATAAATAAATTTAAGAGAAAAGAGCAAATTAAAAGCAATCTAATTGTGCTAGTTAAAACCACAATTATGTTTGTATAACTCCTATACTGCATAGTTCTCAACTAGTTGTGTCTACAATACAGGAAATATCTATACGCTTACTAACATACGAGTTGGAAGGGTATATACTGCCGCAACTACACTGCACAGCTAAGTCATAAGTCACCCTGCAGGCGCTGGTACAATTAAATAGTTAGACCATGTCTATTAATACAACTATACAGTATTATTGGTACAATGATAGCATATCCATTCATACAACTACCTATACGATGTCTATAAATACAATTATACAATGTCTATAAATGCAATTATACGATATCCATTAATACAATTATATGATATCCATTGACAAAATTATACGATGTGTATAAATATAATTCTAAAATGTTCACACGCTCACAAATTAATAGTTTTCTTGTACGGCCTGCAGAACAGAAGCGTCAAGAAATGGACGCCGAATATGAATTTATCTATATATGCATTCCGGCAGAGTAAGCGACATTAAATAGAGCACTGCGCTTGATCAGCGAGCAAAATTAATTGTACAAAATATAATTAAAATTTATATTAAAAAATTATTTTAAAAATATAGCAACGCCGCTAGCAATGAGTCAGTTACTTGCATGCAAATAAACTGCATCGCGCGGTTCCTTTACACATGCCGCCCAGAGAAAGGCAAATGATTGTTAACAATTTACAATGTATCTTGGCTTGACGGTAAATTCCATACAAATCTAGATGAGAACTTAATTTGTTAACTATTTATGGGAAGTTCAAAACCGGTGTTGAGATGTACAAACGAACGAGATTGTCGTCAAGCAGGCACTCGCTCAGTCGGCTGCGAGCGCAGCCGCATACGGTGTTGGTCTGAGAGCAGCTTTCTTTACCATTTGTTTAGCCAATTTCAAACGAAAAGAAACAGGAAAAGAGTGTCGTGATGAAAAAAGAATCAAGCACATCACTGGGAAACTCAAAGGGCCTTTTCATATTATTAAAAGCATTTTTAAGAATAAAAAGCCTTTCGTGTTTCTGGTAGGAGTGCATGTCAAATCATTACTGCATGCGTGTATGACGATGAAGAATTAAAACGTGCTAACAACCTGCCATGGCGCGTTAATTTGCCAAACTGTGTTAACCTGCCGCACCGCGTTAACCTGCAGCACCGCGTTAACCTGCCGCACCGCGTTAACCTGCCGCACCGCGTTAACCTGCAGCACCGCGTTAACCTGCCGCACCGCGTTAACCTGCAGCACCGCGTTAACCTGCCGTACCGCGTTAACCTGCCGTACCGCGTTAACCTGCCATACCGCGTTAACCTGCCATACCGCGTTAACCTGCAGCACCGCGTTAACCTGCCGTACCGCGTTAACCCTGTCTCTTATACACATCTAGATGTGTATAAGAGACAGGAATAAAGGGTATTCAACCAAGTATTAAATTAAAATAATGCGGATTTATTGTTTTGTACGAATACTTTTTTCACCCGAAAAGTGAACATGTTGCATTGTTTTTTGTTGCATTGAGATTTAATTTCTTTTGATAGTATTTTTGAATACTATGCGTCTCTATACATAATTTAAATCACTTTTCCTGTTAAGTTTGTGTACTTACATACATTAAAATACGATTTTTCAAGTGTATGAATATTTATTTCCCCCCACTGTACATCTATTGATATATCCGCATATAAATTGTTAACCCAAACATCCTAAGGTAACTTGTAATGCAAGATTAACCCAGTAATACAAGTTTAACCTGCCATGCTAGATTAACTCTTTCATGCCAGCTTGGTTAACAGGCAAACCTTATACACCAGATTACGATGCAGCTCTGGACGAACATGTATAATAGTTACCGTGCAATGTTGGTTAAACTAGTAATGTCAATTTATCTCAACACACTAGCCTAATAGGATTAGCCGGCCTAACTAATTTACTGACAAATGGGGTTAATTTGCCACGTCAGGTTATCCAGCCAAACCAGGTTATCTTACCATATTGTTATACTGTCATTATAGGCCACCCTAAAACCAAATTTTCTCAATTGCAGCACATTA